ATTAAATATGATTCATTAGGATTAAGGTTTAGACTGTTTAGACTGTTGCTGCGAAATCTGAACAAGATTTTTATATCATTATTCAGCGATGTTTCGTGATCAATAAGCTGATTTACTTTATCGGAGTAGTACAAGTCAGTATGAATGTTGAATAACCTAAAAACCTTAGAGAAGTCAGATGTGTAGATAATAAAGAGTAGCGGGGCGAGAATTGAACCTTGTGGGGCGATGACAAACATTCATATTATTAGATTGTCTACCCTTTATCACGTTACTTTCAATTTTTTTTTAAAATGAAATAATAAAGTCACATGCCTTCACACTGAAACCAAAAAAATCGAGAGACAAGAAAAGAGTGATCTTTTCATTTTCGGTGACTGAAAAAATATCGTTGATCTTTTTCAATAGAGCAGTAGATGTACTGTGGTTTTTCCGAAAACCAGATTGGTGTTCAGGCAGGATGTTATTATCAAAGACATAAGAGTATATCTGACTATAGACTGCCTTTTCTACAATTTTTGAAACTACCGGTACTATATTTATGGGCCTCAAATCATTTGGTGTCAAAGGTTTAGAAATTTTGTATATAGGAAACATATTAGATTGTTTCCATAGTTCTGGTAAGATACTAGTTTCTAGTTTCTAGAATGAGCATTTTACTGACGTCCAATGCAGTTCAACAAATCCAAACATTGGATCGAACTTGTATTATTTTTCCAATTGGAATGAACCTACCTTATTCAAATTACGTTAATTACATTATAGAACGGCAAATTCAGGGATGGTAAGGAATAGTACCCTGCCTCGCAAAAATCAAAATTTTTCTAGGACTATCGAAGAAAGCGTCAATCGTTTGGGTGAGTACGCAATTATCTCATAACTCACACTTTCAAACCAATCGCAGTTGACCAGATACCATCTTCGTGACAATGTCAGATGGGCAAATTCGTAACCCCACCATTGTTTTTCGAATATTTTTAATTGCAAGTGAGCCTTGTAAATTTAAGTTTTTTCCACATGAATTGGATGCCATATGAAATATTTTGGGTTATTTCATGTCATCTAATGAGTTAGTGGTATTGACATTACGATATTACTAATTATCAGCTCACCTCTACTAAACCCTGTAGAACTTTAATTACTATGAGAAAATCGGGTTTTTGATAGAGAGCTGGAATGATAAGATTCAGAACACAAGATGTCACAATTGCCGCCCCAAATAACTTATTGGCCGGATAAGCAGCGGCTATGAGTCCTCCAGGAATTTGGGTCACGAAATAACCCCAAAAAATGGCAGCATCAACTGCAGATAACGTCTCTGGTGTCCAAGTATTATTCTGAAAAAAATAAAATGATATATAGAGAGTGTGTTGTTTATTGTTCAGTTTGTGTCAGCTTCTATTAAAATTACTGTTACGATCCTGATTTATACAAATATCTGAACTGATTGATTTTCAAGAACTTTCCAGAAAATGTATTAATTTTACAAAAATGTTTACCTGCAATAGAAATAAAATCAACTTGAGTCATTATTGGTTACACAGGGAAAGGGAACCAATAGGATTAACAATAAACTGACTGCTTACCTGATAACATATTTCATAAGATGAAATGTATACGATCAAAAAACTTTTTCGTATGATTATAGAGTTGACTCATCTAGAGAATATAGTGGTGATAATCATATCGCAACGGTTAGAATGGTTCCACCACACAAGCAGAAGGCCATAAACGACAATGATAATAAAAGTAACAAAAGGGATACCAATCTAACCATGGCAGTAAAAGGCAACCTAGATATAGAAAGAGAGGACCTATCCACCTCAGAATAGAATATTTAACGCGCAAGCGTAATCCATAAACCGAAGGGATTGAATGGAGATGCTGATGGTGATTGATAAATTGAATTGTTCTCACCATTTTCAATTTGATCATTCCCATGCTGCTTCTCATACCAAACATGATAATAAACCCTACACAGCTCAGCAGGGCGACCGTGGCTCGTTTCGTCAGACATGGTAGTTCCGGTCTGATGTACTGGTCGATCTTCCGAAGAGGTGGTTGGTCGTATTCTGGTAGGCTTTCCGGGGTGCTGACGTCGTCTGCAACTGTACCTTCACTTTTCTGATGTTTGATCGATGCATTGAATTGGTCATATTGCTTCCTGCAACAATGAATAATATTCTGTTTGAGAATCTGTTTGAAATCTGTTTTTCCGTTAACCAGCTGATTTCAGAAATCTTATAGCCTATATTTTATCAATTACAGTAAGATGTTCCAGAATAAAGTTAAATTTTTATTTTTACCAGATACAGAAAGAGATTATTGTACAAGCGATATTCAATTGTTTGTTTGTTTTGATATTTTAGCTGAGGGTATTTTTCATTGAGCCACATGACTCATTTCATCTCACTTCTAGTTTTGCCGAAAGCAGATCTATGTCAAGAATTTAAAAACTGAGGAACATCTTGAGTTTCACTGTAACTACCAAGGATTATATTATTCCACAAGTAGTTGACAATTCACAGAAAAAATAACAACTTCTGAAAGTCATTCATATATGCTGGGAGAGAAAAAGAATAGTGGGAATTTTAACGAGACTTTTTCAGAAAAAACAGTTATACTTTAATTTCCTAATTAAAAAAAATGATACTTGGAATTTTCAAAATTTCTATTGAATAACGAAATAGATTAATTCCCTGTTTACTTCCCAGTAACGAATAGTTTTATTCGATCCAAGGTAGTGAAAAAGGAAACCCATTCACATGAATATCATAGAACTGACCGATGTTTGATGAAAATCCATTATAACGTATTCAAAAGACACACTTCAATGTGAGATTTCCACTTAAAAATTTACAAAACCGCGACACGTGTTTCGCTATACAATAGCATCCTCTGGCGTCACAATACTGTATCGCGGTTTTGTTAACTTTGACTCACATTGAAATGTGTTTAATGAATACGTCTTACACATGACTTTCATTGTGACACCCAAATTTTTCCTATAAAGTTTTTTAAAAAAGTGCGAAGAGTTAAGCTTCAAGAAGTTGAAGAGCTTATCAAAAATGTTTTACACAGGCTAGCTCAATGATGGGCGGTTTGAAAAAAAGGGAGGGTGAAGATTGGTTTGGTGGATAAAAAAACTTATGAGCTAGATCAGTGGTTCTAAACCTTTCTGTCAGGTCATGGACCACCAAGTTGGTTAATTAGTTTGCAGTTAATATAAAGTAACTTACGATAACTACAAATAAATACAGTACAGTACAGTAAATAAATGGAATGGTTGTTCTAATTCATCTATAAATAAAATACGCATAAAATTATCCTTTAATCATTAAGTAAAATCTGTAACTTTAACAAAAATTACATTATAAATTAATGCGACTTTTGTGATTGTATATTCTTTACTGAATTCTGAATCCTTGGTTCAGTGTTACTTAAACTTAAACGCTATCAGCAGTGGCATCCAACCGATTTTGGTGCTTGTTTTTAATAATCAGAAGCACCGAAAACATAGATATGTCGAAGAAAATAAAGTTAGGTAACGAATAGCAATGTCTCGAAGTTTTGGTACAGAAATTGCCTTTGGGTTCCAAAATTCTTCATGATTAGTTCCTGATTCGAATGTATCTTTTAAGTTGCTAGCGTGTAGCATATCAATTACCCATTCTTAAACTCCATCAGGCACCTCAGAAACGTTTACAATAAATGGATTGTGGATCAGTTTTTGAATACTTTTATCCTCGCGGTCGGGAAAATAGCGATTGAATTTAATTTTTAAGTTTTTTGAATTCAATATGTTCTTTTGTATTTCTCCTTCAATTTTAGCACTCTGTCCATCAATAATTTGACAGGACAAACACAGTAAAGTTATTATTTTCGACCTTCTTAATCTATAGCTCGATTTTAGCGATAAACGCACTGATTTTATCTTCATAAGCAAAAATATTGCTCATGCCTTGCAACTTCAAATTTCCCGACCCTTGCAGTAGTCGGTTTAATTTATTGAGTTGCGCAAAAAAATCGACCAAATAAGCAAAATATATTTGAAATTTGGACTCGTGGAATTGATCAAACAACTCTTTGTTTTCCTTGTTAGTTAAAATATTTTTACTTCCTCTCTTAGTTCGTACAACCTCACCAACATGTTTCCTTTGGAAAGCCAACGCACTTCCGTGTGGAAAAGCAAAGTTTCATGTTCAGAGTTCATATCAGAACACAATTGTTTGAAGAGACGAGTATTGAGTGCATTCTTTTTAATGAAATTTACTACTTTGGTAGCTATTTTCATCGTCAAAGCAAAACATTCTGGAAGCGTCTTGGCAGCTAGTATTTGACGATGAATAACGCAGTGCGTCGTAATTGCAAACGGATTTTTGGTTTTTCAATGCTGTAAGACCAGAGCGAAAACCAAGCATAGCAGGAGCACCGTCCGTACAAAACCCCGCAAGCCGTTCCCACATAAGTCCATGTTTCTCCATATATTGACTTATTGCATCCATAATATCTGCACCTTGCAACGTCGTTTCAAGTTCTTGAGAAAATAGTAACTCCTCTTTAAACATTTTGGAGGCGGGTCGCATTGTATCCTGTCGACTCATCCAACATATTTATTAGGATGGCTCCGCAGACCGCTTGGGATGCTTCCAGGGATCACCAGTGGTCCGCGGACCACCGGTTAAGAACCACTGAGCTAGATACATATATCAGGACAGTGAATTTATCAAAAAACTTCTTCAATATGGTTTTAAGAAACTCCAACGTTAACCTGTGTAAATACCATTGTAAAAAACTGATCGAATGATTTTTGACCCAATAAGGCCGAACCATACATTTATTCTGGAACGTACCTTTGGATTACAGGGAATATTTTGTATGAAGTTCTCATTACTCCAATAATGATGATTTCTTTCTTTTGTACATGCTCCGATTGCAAAAATTAAATTAGTCGCCCCATAGATTTAGTCCTAAAGAATCAAGATTAACGTTTTTAGCCTTTACAAACCATCGGCATTATGTCATTCGTTTTCTCTGGTCACCAAATAAAAGACACTGGGTCGGTCTATATAAGGCAAGAATTAATATTCGGAATAGTTCAAGAACACTATTTGCTTCAAAATAAGCTAGCACACTTATTTCTCCTTCTTCGTGCACCACGAAAGTTTTCTTTGACTTACTATTGGCAAAAACTTTTTGGATTGATCTGCGCTTTCTGCATGATATAAAATATCTTCGATCTGAAATAACATTATATCGTTAAAGAGCATGGTCGGCATTTTTCTACACACTCATATCATATTTTTCTAAATGAGTAAAAACTATTTGAATAATTAGAATAAAATGACATAAAAATCAACGAATTCATTAAAGTTAAATTGAGTTGATTAACAAACATTGTAAACGATACGTATTATTTGAATCAATTTTGAATTTCATGCCAAACTCGAAAAATGGAAATTTTTGGTTTTGAGATAAAATTCTACATAACCTTATGAAATTCTGAAAAAGTTTTTTGAAATAAATCGAAAACCTGATGTTCAATTGTTTTTCTGTTGGCACTACTAGTTCAACCAAACTCGTATTTTCGAGAAGAAATTAGCAATAGCTCCGAATTGAGTCTGATTATACTGTATTATGATCCGCAACTGACTTTGGATTCAGTACAATCTTCAGATTTTCATAGAAATTCCTACACACTCAAAATTCGAAATTGTCAATCACACACAAATACGAATGGCTGATATGATTCTTTATGGTGAAAAAATATAGTAGATAGCAGATAACATAAATATTTCCTATGGAAGTATTAATGACTTGAAGTGATATTTTTCATTCATAAATTTTCGTAAGGTACTGAGACTGAATCTATTTTCATCATGATGAGTCTTCTGGGGGAGGGGGCTTGTTCCACTTGTATAGTGTTCAAACTTTGATATTACGAGCGCATTGAAGGGGTGAAAGTGTCATTGGGTTTCACATAACCAATTGAAGTTTTCTTTAAATCATGAATTTTTAAGTCTGTCTAGAAGAATACAGATCCAGCCTGTTGTAAGTCGATGCTGATAGCCACTCCTAGGCTTATTCAAAGAAATAGTTAAAAATTGAAAAAATCATAAGGTATGCACGCATAGTAGTGAATTTTTTGGGTTAACTCTTGAAGAATGGCATATATGTTTGAAAAACCTGTTTGAAATTTGTTTCTCCACCAACCAGCTGTCATTTCTTCACGAATAACAACCCTGGAAAATCAAAACTAGATTATTCAAATTTGCAATGCAGTATTGTATATGAATTTAGGTTTGCTGTATATTGCGTACATGATGTGGGTGTGACCATAGACACCCGTGAGGGATACCACTACTGGGTTTTAGTAAAAACTGCTAGGTTTTAGTGAAAATATAAAACTTCAGTGAAACCAGAAATTAGCTTTTTGTGGATATTAGATCGCGAACGTGTAAATTAATACAATGAAAAATTTAAACTTAATTTTCCATGCTCAATCTCGACAAACATCATCAATAAATGATGATCTTTTTTTCTAGTACAATGAGTCAATTACCATTTCATGTGTTTATATCGCATGTCGATAGAAAACCTAAATGGATAAAACACATCAGTAATTTCAGACAAAACTAGAGATTAGATTAAGCGCCGTTTAAAGTGTGTTTTATGATGAATGTCCCCTAAAAGACTGGTATAATGCGTTTTAACGCAGACTTCCATAACGGGTAATGACTATCTCAGCATTGTGTAGGGAACCATGTTAATGTATTTTAGTCATCAGCAAAAAGGGGAGACAGAAAGATGAACGATAGACAGAGTTGTACTCCGGAGGATTTTGTAATTCTCGTAAAGCATTTTTCCAATGTGTTTTGGCCCTATGAGGATAGAATGATGTTGAGTCTAGATTTTCTCAATTTTTTTTCGATTATATAAAATTTACCCAGTGCAACAAATGTTGATTATCATTGGAGATATTAATAATAAATAAAGCCAAAAATAACATAGCTTTCAGGAGTTCAGAACTACGCAGTACGGCTAATATTTAAAGATATAAGGCAATCTATAATAGTGTGGAAAGAGCGGGAGGTTGGATCTTAAGGAGGTTGTTGCTCATAACGAAGTGAATAACACTATTTGAAAATACGCTGTAATTCTACCTATAAAGTGTATGAACAATTTTTTATAAGAAGGGTTAGTTGGGTGACANACAATTTGACGAATGTATGTCGAAACACCCTCTCTGACCTAAAGAAGGGCGGTTACAAGTCCAACTTCAATTACAGTACATAAAAAAAACAAATTATGATTTTGTTTTATTAGCGTCTCTATGAACATAACAAATATCATTTTGAAATGTCTTATTATAATGAAATGTGATGTAATGTAATGAATGTTTCCACAATACATAAAAATATAGGTATGGTTTAGGTATACAGGAATATTGACTGAATTGAAACAATAACGGTAATTGGTTGTCACCTTGCTGAAAATTACATAGCTATGTAATGAATTAAAACATTCTCCATTTTTTTCCTTTGAATTTCATACTTCCATTGATATTTTTTTATTTTTGAGGGTAGTCTGAAATAGATATCAAACCAAAATGAGCAGCTGAGATATTTTATATTTACAAAATGAAGTACAGAAATAAATAATTTTTTATCGAATATTCACAATATCTACTAAATTAAGTTTTATTTTTCTGAACAAGAATGTACATAGAATATAGTGTCATGAACAAATATTTATCATAATGAATGGACTGATTTTGAAACGCTTTTATTAGCTTCATTTGTATGTTTTTTTCGAAGACGCCACCTAGGGAATGTTTGTGCAGTCAGTGTCGAAACTTGGCTTGGCAACTGACCGCCTTAGGTAGCCTCGTTTATCTTTGATATTCGTGAATTGAGTCTCTTGTCGATCCCATAGACGATGTATTTGTGAGGGTATTTTTCTTCACCTCTATTCAATGCTTTCTTTTTCTTTATTGAAGATTTTGAAGATTTGTACCATGACAAAATTATCAGGTTTGAAATTTTTTATTTGCAATGACTGTTGCATTGGTTTGATGAAAGATTCTTCTGGAATGTCATTTATTTCTGAGAAAACATAATGAATGAATTTTCTACTATGTATGGTAACAAAGGCCACTTTTCAATTATTTCGTTTTTTTTTTGTTTCCTCATATATGAATGTAATGGAAACAAATGGAATACAAAAACAAATGAGGATGAAACTTACAAAAAGATATTTTCAATAGGCGGTTTAAAAATAAACCGGCTACTTTCATTAATCATTTTTGTGTTTTTATGAAAATTCTGAGAAACCCTGCCTCAATTTTTTTCAACTATGCTTCATTTCTTAAGCTACTTGTCTTCACATAGAATGATGAATTTCCATGTGACTTTGTCAAAACTTGACCTTTGAAAAAACAGAAAAAATGAAAAATGATGAAACTATAGATTTTGAGATCATCTACAAAATTTAAAATACGAGATTCATACATTATGATTTCTGTATTTACAGTAAAGAGACTATACACTGTGTCTAAAATAAGAATGAACAGCATAACAGCCTGTAACACATCACGATGACTGTCTTCATTAGATTGCTTTTGTCAAGAAACCACAGGTTTTTTGAATGATCCGTATTCTTTTAAATTAAGGACTAAACGTTTAAATGTTGATTTACCAGGTTGTCGCCTCTCTGGATACGTATTGTTGTCATGTAACATGACAACATATCAAATTTTTTAGTATTCGTTTTCCACTTTTGACACAAATTGGTTAACGAAAATGTAAAAGTAGGAACGGTAATATGTCAAAAATTCCACCAAACAATAGTATTATCATGACAACAGAATATTCTGTGTAATTTTTTCCAGCGTGTACAATCTAGAATTGAAGGAAAGCAGGTTAAGTAATCACTTTTCATTTTGCGTGAGAAATGGTTATGAAATCATATTGTGTGATACGTATGATACGTTGCTGTATTCATAATGAAAAATGGAGTCGTATACAGGGTATCTTTTAGTTTCGGACCATATTAAAATACAAAGTTGATAATGTTTTCTAAAAGACAAACGTCGCAGAAATATTCTGCTGTTACCGTGTAGTGCAAAGCCATGACAAAGTGTTATTTGTTTTACATTTCCTTTGAAAATAAAGCTAGGAGAAAATGAAAACAAAATTCTCAAATTTCGGTTTTTCTCGGATATCTCCGAACTACTCGGAGTATCAACTTTCTAAATGGCATATTAGTAGGCACATAAATGCACTATTTTTCTCTAATTCAACCTACTCCGTATCACTTACCGTTTCCGATATCCCCATGCTGTTCATCCTTATCTTAGACACAGTGTATACGTAACAAATGAAAATATGGTAAAAGGCAGAAACTATAATGAGAAGTAAAACTGGTGCTGGAAATATGATTTCAACTAGAAATATCAATGAAATAGTGTGCCTTTTTTTATATAAAAATCGTTAATAGGAAATAAACAAAAACCAGTGCCATTTAATACCCTGTTTCATTAAGAATTTAGTTGGATTAGCCCATTTCAATCTACTGCAGTATAAATTATAGTTACACATCAAAACTTTCAATAGTAGCCGTGTGAATTTGAAAAGTTCTGGCCATTCTTCAAATATATTCATTGCCAATGTTTTTAACAAAAATAACAACTCATGATAGAAAATCCAAATTTGCTGATATTTTTTTGAACACTCAAAATTTCAATATTTGATTGTATGAATGATTGTTTGAATGTCGTGATTTGTTTTGATAGATTGTTAGGTTTGCAACAAAACCTGATTTTGAGATTTTCGAGTTGCCATATAGTTGAGAACAGGTACATTATTGTGCAATCGAATCCATATGATGAAATAAATGATGAGATCATCGAATTCTTTTTTTTCTTCTATATATCACCTAATATTAAACAACCGATCATGTACATAAAAAACATGATAGTTCATTGAAAACAAATAAAAGAGTCCATATAAGAAAATATCAGTGCAGAATACTATTGAACTCACCTCTGTCATGGATGAGTGAAAAGAATCTTGGAAATACGAGGCTTGGAATAACACGAGCAGATAAAAATTCCAAGACCTGCAGAAATTTGCCACAAAAATGGCATAGCACGGCAAGGACGTGAAAAACGAGTTCCACGGTGTGTTCCTTAACGTGGGAGTGATGTAGGTTTGATGGGTATTGCCTAAAGAGTTCTCTATAAATGCTAACTCTTTTACTTCAATACATGTGTGATAGGCAGGTTTCTCGAATACTAACCAGATCCACTATAGATATAGATATAGATTGATAGGCAGGTTTCTCGAATACTAACCAGATCCACGAAAGGTACCTGAAACAAAGCAAGGAAGTTTCAAGTTTTCAATCCAGTTTTGTATATATCGAATAAAATAGTTTTAATACCATTTTGATGGAGCTTCAATGAGAGTGTTGAGAAATATTTCGTTTCTGTAGACTGGTATCTTCGGAAGCAGCTTGATGCAATGATTGGGAATAAATATCAATGTTAGTATATTCCCATTCCTGAACCTTTTTTTCTTATATTTGATAGTCATAAAATTGTAAAAAATCAGAATTCATTGAACCGAAGTTCATATTTTTTAAAAGCTATAGTATCAGCATAATCACTTCCTATGAAATATAATCTTTGAGCCGGCAAAGTTTCTCATGGAATATTTTACAGTTCAGTATTCAGATTTTGAAATGAAGTTAAATATCTTTTACAATTAAAATTGAAAAGTCGATCGACTTATCTGCATAAATATTAACTTTGATTTTGAGAACTATTCTTCCATTTTATTATGATCTGTCGAGTTAGGACTCGGAATCATTGAGTTTACTGTTTCAGGTCATGAAGTCAAGGCTTTTGCAATAAGTGCATCTCACGAAGATAATAAACGCGCCTGACCAAGATGGAGGATTCACTATTCTTCTTCATCTATACTCAACAACCTGGACTTTCCATGATCACCGAAAAATCTCTTAACCTAAGATCCAAATTCCACATATTTGTTTAATCGACAAAAATTATTTCATATGAAATTTAGCGTGTTTCGAAAGTAAATCGCGAGTGAGTTGATTTTTTTGAATACTACACTTATCTGATTATTGAAGCCCACAGAATGAGCAAACGTTGGGGCTATTTTTTCCTGGCATAAGTAGAACCGAAACCTCCGGCGTGAAATGAATCAATTACAATCGCTTTTCTCACACCAGAACAAAATACTGCCTCTCACAGGTGAGTTAGTCAATATTTACATATATTTAGTGGGCATACTTAAAGACTGGCTGTAAATCAAATTAACTGAAGGAACAATTTATTCAGGCCAGTCTCGACTAACCTACACTGTAGGTTGATGGATTGACACCTATCATAAAACAACTATTCCCCTGACTAATACCACGAAGAGCGTTGGACAATGTTTGAAGAAAGAAGAAAATTAAAGCTGCCAAACGGTTGGAAGTTTAACTCAATACACCTCAGACTACACATTTTGAGAACTCTGTTCTGAAAATGGTTTAAAGATTTTCCTGTAGTGTTTGTGAACCTCCATAAAAATAGTAGAGCAGACTTCACCGTAGAGTACTGAGTTGTTGTAAGTGGTAGGTTTTGAAAAGGTTGATTGACGAATCCCATGAAGTTTTGAAGAAATGGCAAAGGTATAGAGAAGACTTTTTTATGTAAACAACGCGCAAGATTTCAGAATCCGTTTGAGGTAAGACGTGGCAGCACTAGTGAGTGAATGAGAAGGGAGATTAATGGAACATTTGTGATAGTTATTGAAGTTATTGGTATGATGTGCCAATCCGTATAACAAATCGAACACGAAGAATTATTATTTTCCATTTCATGTGATATAATACTTTTCTCAACACTTTTCTCAATTTACAGATATGGTTAATATATATCTAGGAAAATGGTACCTGAATATGAATGATGATGGAGGAAAATATTTTGAAAATCTAAACAAGTTTTATTTTGGACGTGTTAAAATTGATTTCGAAAAGTGTTCCAGAGGTGAATAAAAAAAAATGCGGGATATTGAAAAACATCAAATACTCTCTCAACACTTACCACAAAATTCCAGCAACTCCGTAAAAATAAAACGGAGCTAAAACTCCAAAATGTTCCACTAGTTCGCCCGAAATGGGCATAGAAAACATAACTCCGGCGTAGCAGCCACTGAAAGCGAGTGTTGCTAAACGTGACCTCTCCAAAGGTGGAGCCCAGTGCCTCATTATGCCGTGGCAGGCTGGGTAGGTTACTCCCTGAAAAATCAAACAATGAAATGAATACAAATTACACTTTTGTCAATTTCCATGCTCAACTACTGGTACATTTGAGCTGCCATATTGTTGAGCTTATAATTACATATTATAAAGGTCCCCGCCATAACTGTCTCTCTAAATTCCATAGGATGGAACCTATTTCAAAATTCGAGTTGATAGTTTTCAATATACTTTCGTTTGATTTTGTTATCAGTGATGTGATGGAATCGATACTTTCTATAACTTACTTATGTATCACTATACAATATTTTCCTCAAGCGTTTCCTCCACAAACCATTGTCAAACATCGACACATCCCTATCCACATAGAGTAGCAGCGTTCAATAGTGTGCTTCACAAACTACTGAATATTCCACTGCCAGAAAGTGATTTTAAGAAAGAACTGAATTTTTTCAAACAAATCCCTGAATATTACTGGAGTTTAATCCCAACACCAAATCGTCATTTTCAACACCTCGACACGTGTTTCAATCACCAAGTGATTATCTTCAAGAGGAAGGTAACACGTGTCGAGGTGTTGAAAATAACTTTTGGTGTATGATGGAATTGGCCAATACTTGATGAAAATTGATAACTAACGTATTCAAAAAACACTTTATTGTGATAATTTAGTGAAAATTGGACATATTTAAAAATTCTAGATTTAGTAGCTTCGGTTGTACGTTAATATAAGGTACCCACTTATACAATACTAGCTGTTTCCCGCTGTTTTACCTGCGTGTTCGTGGGAACCTACCCTATGTGTTATTCCAGGTCATGATCTATCTATATACCAACTAACATTTGAACCCGTTGATCTGTTTGGGTGTGAAAAAGTAAAAAACCTAAATACATACATTACATTCATCCATCCTCACAAACTTAACTCATTTATAATATTAGTAGGATCAGTTTTTTTTTGCTGATGCTATTCAATATTGTATAAGTGAGTACCTATTGATTGACTGACACTCATATATTAACGTACAGCCGAGGCTACTGAACCTAGAATCTTGAAATATGCAGTAAAATTAACTTTTATTGAGGTCTGTAACACGATAATCAGTTAGGTAGTTATCAAATTACACTGTTATTAAATGGGAGCAGAACAAGTTTAATAATCGAAATTTAGCAATCCGAAAACAGTTGAATAGTGTAGCCTGAGATGTTTACTTTACAAAAGCAAAATCTGAGAAAAGAAATATGTTGATTGTTTACTTCTTATAGAAATTCGGTGGACTATTAAACTCATATGGAAAACTAAACTTTCTGAAAATTGCTTATAGCTATGAATAAATGCGATATATCATCCTAAAATATTTTGAGGAAGGCAAATTTGACATTTATACCGGTCTGTCAGGTCAATTCCATCAAGTATATACATTTTCAATGCATAAATCAGTTGTGGAAATCATTTATTTTTCATAATTTGCAATATCTGGCTCGTGCATGTTACTGAAATAATTAAATTTGAGGATGAATAATATTGAATATGTTTGAAATTCCACCAAATATGTAAAAACTTTGAAATATATAAGATGTTTTATTGGAGGAAAACCAAGTTGGCATGACAAATCGATACATATAGCAACTCTGCAAAATTCAAAATATTTTAGGTTTATAGAATGCGTCAATGTATAGCCACTACGTCATTTTTAGATGGACATAACATTTCGTTCTTCAGATGAAGAACATGAGTAAATATTACTTTTCAATATCAAAAAAACTAAACCTTCGTACTTTTATACACTTGATATGTAATATTTGGTAACTTACCTCCACAGTTGAATAACTTCCTAACTTGGGTCGTTGTCAAAATTCCTCGTTTTCGTATCCGATCTGCAAGTATTCCTCCAGTTGGAACTATGATAGTCATGAGCAGATGCGGTAATGCACCTAAGAGGGCATTCTAAAAAAAAGCAATATGAGAACAAAACTGCGATAGAAAACTACTGTTTGATTGATAATATTTGGTCTCTCTTATACAGAAAGTGAGTAACTTCCAAAGAAAGCCATAAAAATCAAATATATCAATAAGAATTTTTTACAAAGGTGTGTAGACTGTTCACAGAACCAAGGAACTGGAACAAAAAGACAATTCAAATTAAATACCAAGTGAAATGGGGTTACTTAGGCCAGTTTCAATTTTTGAACATCTGTTATTCACAAACCAGCAATTGAATAAATAAGCTTGTCAATGAAAAATACAGACTTCTAGTTACACTGTTTGTTGACATATTTGAAGTGATCAGAATAATCAGAATAATCACAATAATGAACTGATAATATCAGTTGGAAGGTCCAAGAGGGAAGGTATATATTCTCTAGTAGATAACTATAATTCTTTCTCAAAAAAAAATATTTCAGCAAACCAGTGCTAATCACAATAGTATTGAACTGATTTTCATTACTTTCTTTGAAACCAGTGTCCAAAAACGAAGCATTCGTTAGCAAACACCAGATAGTGTTGTTTTGAACCATCATAGGTGTCATCGGGGGTATCAGGCTGAACCACGATTGCATTGCCGACATCACTTACCCTGAGAGAACTAGCATGAGACGATTGGTTGGTACGTAAATAGGTGGCTAAGTACTTAGGTCCACAGTGAGTGTAACCCATGAGAGTTTCTTGTGACTCACACCTATTCAAACTCGTTCAAATAAGTCCAGCTTCTCAACAAAGTCAACTAGCTCATTTGTTGAATGATCCCTCAGGTCAGCTGACAAGAGTAAAACTCAGTCAATCTCTGAAAACCCGATTCGATCCGTGGCGAAGCAGGTAGGAGGTCCAAGTCTCTACATGTGATGATTCAGATGATAGTGATCTATGAGCAAGCCTTTTATATAACGCAGGTTAGTCTAACAATTGGTTGGTTCCATTATTCGAGGAATATACAAAAGTCTTGGAATGGGTAAATCATTTTAGACTATGTAGCAAGGGAGCCCACGATGCAAAATGGGGTTTTACTCGAGCGTCATTGAGACATATTAGGTTGCAAAGCTTAGATGATAAAAACAAATATTACATAATATATACCTTTTCATCGGTGGGGGAAGCGGCTATAGATTTTTAAATAGGTAAAAAAATACTGTTGCATGGACATACTCGAGCGCGTCAGATATTGATAGCATTAATGTCCTACGTATTTTTAATAATGTTGGTATGTTATTCTGATCGTTTGCATGATGTGGGTGGTTGTACGTAAGGGTTGAAAGTGAAAAGAAAAAAAAATCAATCGAGCGCGTCAGATTTTCTAAGGGGATGTTAAGTGCAAC